GAATATATTTTTATCTTTATTTATAAAGTTTAAAGCTTAAAAAAATGTGTAGGTTGCCAGATTTGTGAAAACTTAAAAATCTTGAAAATTGACAGTCAAAAAATGTGTTACAAAATATACTATTTTCAAAATTTGAAATCCATTTTTTTCTCATGTCCATGCATCCTGATATCACGATGATCAATTTGAGGATATTTGAGCATCAAAACAACTTCTTCTAGTGAAATTTTTGATGTAGGCTCTAATTTGATTGTTTAGAGCCTCAACTCTATATGAACTTTTGCCTTCATTTTGTTTTGGTATAATGAAGTCACAACCTTGCATATAAAATCTAGACGAAAATGTGTAAAAAAAAAATTGAAAAAAATTTATTTTAAAACTTTGTGCCCTGATACATCTTCAACTAGTAGATTTTAAAAATAAATTTGGTCGACATTAAAAGAAAACAAATCGATGCCCAAGTTGTTTGGGTCATTTCAGTAATCCTGAACAGGATTTTGGATATTAAATTTTATTTTTTTATTTGTTTACCATGAGTGGTAATGCAGAGACGAGGATATGGAAGGAAAGTCCATTTACCAAAACGGACAGATCCAACTGCCACGACATTATCAACCTCTTAATACTGCTTCAGTTCCACGATCTTCGTCTTCTTTAATTAATTAAATAATCATTTCTATTATGTAATTTTAAATGGGTTCAAGGATTATCCTTTGGGGGGCAATTATTCGATTTAAAATTTGTTGTTTATTTTTTTATTGATATTTCGTGGCTACTTATTGCGAAACTCTTGGGGCTCTCAATGCAGCTTGTTCGCAACGACTCATTCTCATTTTTTCTCTTCCTGTGCTGTGCAAAAGGGTTAAAAGGTAAGGCCCCCATCTCTCTCTTCGACTTCCTTTGCTATGCCATTATAATTTAGTGCTGCAATTTGAGAAGATTTTTATTTTTGAGATATTAGTTTTCTTGTTCCTTCCATGAGATTTCCTATTTTCTTCCAAATGAGTTGTTATATCAATGCTCTCTTTTCGATTTAACTTAGGCAAAAATTTTGCAGTCATTAATTTTTATGGGGTAAATTAGCAGGGAATGGGTCTCCTATCTATATTAGAAATAAAAATAGTTATTTCGTGGTATCCACCACCCTTACCATCTATGCCTTTAGTCTATTTCTTATTTTGTATTTTGGATTTTAATATACTGTCATAGAACTATTATGTCGGTAACGAGAGTAAAAGTGTTATCTATTAAAAAATTAAAAAGATATAGTTATGGGTATATTAAACAAGAAAATTTAATATACTTGAGATACATAAAACTTTATGGGATATATTTAATAATTTTATTAGAATGAATTTTATATTGGAAAATTGGGTTCCATTTATGGGGGCGGTACTGGGAATAGGGATGGTTGAGTCGAGGAATGGTTCGGTCATTTCGTTAAAGTAGTCGTCCAATTTTTTGTTGAGTTGGCTGGTGGCTTCGCCTCTTTTGTCACGTGTGAAGGAGAATTCTTCTTAAAGCTTTTTTGTATGTGCTACTTTGGTTCATCCAAGTGCAGTAAAAGCTTTTTCATTCTCTCGCTCCTCACCATGATTCGCAAAATCGCCTGATCTAACCGTTAATCGTCTGGTTAGAGTTGGTTTCGATTTTAGGCAGTTAGGGTGATCAACCAGTATTTTTAAAAAAAATTAAAAATATATATATATAAATTCTCAAAAATAAAGAATTTGATTTGTAATTCATTTTTATATATTTTTTACATTATGGTAAAGATTTATAATTGTTTTGTTCATTAATACTCACTTTTATATTTTCCCATCTTTTTTTAGAAAATTTTAAAAATAGCCATTGAAAAATATAAAATGGGTTAAAATCCATTTTTTTCATTAATTTTCAACTTCATTTGAATGTGTTTTATTTTAATAATTCTTTATACGTTTTTCATATTTTAGTACATTTTTTTTGTATTTTTTATTTTTTATTTTTTTAACACTTTTTTGGCTGCTCGAGACTTGCCCGGTTAGAGCAGTTGAATCGGCCGGTATATCGGTTAGAATGATTAAACCGCTTCCAAGCCCATGTCCGGTTATTCGTTCCGGTTCAATTTTGCGAACGCTGCTCCTCACTCTCTGTCTCTCTCGCATGTTGTGCATTGATAATGGAAATATGTTCCTTTTTTTGTTTTTTATTTTTATATTCTTTATTCATCCAAGGTTGAGTACGTTATTTTATTTTTCTTTTACCCTCTTTAAAATCTCATCCCAAGAATCTTTTTGCTCTAAAAATTCCTTTAATTTGTTATATAAGTTAAATGCTAAAAGCTTAATTTACATTTCGTTAATTTATAGCCATGAATTAAGGATATCCAAACCACCACGGAGCTTAAGGAGGAAATCGATAATTTTTATGGATGTGTGTGAGGGTCTCCAAATTTCATTCAAGGGTATCTATGCAGAATTTGTTTATTTCAGATGATGTTTTCCCTTTCTGATGAGCGGTAACCTTTAACTAATTAATAAAGCCTTATTAACATTGTAAAAAAAAAAAAATTTATAGCCATGAATTGGTGCGTTATCATGCTAGGAAGGCAGCTAGATCCAATTGATCTAATCTTTGATTAACTTAAAAGCCATGTTCAGTTGAAAAAATTAAAATTAATATTTAACTTATCGGACTAACTAATTGGATAGGAAACAAACATTTCGGTCACGAAAAAAACATTTATTTTGGCTCTATTATAGTATTAAGATTTCCCAATAAATGCCTGCCCCTTGCCAAATATCGGACGGATTGCTTTCTTTGTTCAGAAGATACATATCCACGGATCCGGCTTTGGAAAGTTTATCGAAATAACAATTCACTCAATTTTTCCAATTTTCCATGGGTCGGGACAAAAGGGCAGATCAAATTTTGTTGTAAAGGTCCATTTTCCGCGTCTAAAATGAGGAACTTCCACTTTTTCACCTTTCAATCATACGGTGGCCGACTCTACTTCTATGTTTCACTGACCCAACCTTTTCTCACATCTATACTATGGCGGGCCCGTGGTCCGGCCTTTGTCCACATAGGACCGGCCCAGGCCAGCCGGTTTGTTTGGGCCAGTTGGGGTCGGGCTAAAATAAAACAAAAAAAAGAGGGCTGCACAGGCCCTAACTTGACAAATCGAAACAGGTTGTGGCTCAAGCCCTACTTTCATTTTTATTTACGTCCGCCAAACCGGTCTATTGCCGTTCGAACTACGCAAGCAACCTCTCATTCATAACCGGTCGATTGCCGTCCGCACTACGCCTACCACAACTACGCAAGCAACATCTCATTCATGGGTAATGTGCTCGTTGAAAGCAGTATGTATACCTACCAGGCCCATCCAACCCAATTGGTCGACAGTCACTATTCTTGTCAATTGTAAGGCCTCGTCCTATTCACAAGACCTTCGTGATTTCACTTTCTTTCACTCGATTTTTTTTTTGACTTGTGCGGCGCCAGTGCGGTATTACCTTCTTTCCTCTTAGGACAAGAAAGATACTCGTGACTTCTTATCCCTTCCCGCCCAACCCCACAAAAATCCTTCACGCAAAAGAGAAACCAGAAACATTGGAGACATTGAGCCAATCTCATGTGGTCCAAACTGTTTGTTAGGTCTCCAATTGACGCGTGGCTTTCCAAATATCTATATTATAACGTTAAATCAACTTATTTATTTTCCACATACAAACTTTTAGTGGACAAAACAGGACCCTTCAACCAATCACTCTAAAATTATAAACGAATCGGTGTTCAAGAATTCAGTGGAATACACTTGGACTTTAACTCTTTTCTAAGAGTTTTAAAAAATCACAAATCTTATTAAAAATCATTAACATAATACGTTTTCTATTATTTTTACGGTTTTTGTGATAATTGAGAACTTTTCTTGTTGCTTGCTCCAAATTTTTTATTTTTAAAATTATTTCAAGGTACAAATAAAATTTTTCAATCATCAGCCGTTTTTTCTTTTATAGTTTAATTGTTTCTATTATGCATTTTAATTTTTTCATGATTTTAAATATTTAAACACATTTTCCTCGATTTGTTTTTTTTAAGTTTTAAAACATTTCATCTTTGTATGGGACTCGACTGTGTCCACGTATGCTCAGCCTAGTTGCCTGGCTCGGGTTGGGAGGAGTCCAGGGCCTGTTAGGTTTCAAAACATTGGTATGAGTCCATGCTTCAAGTATGATTAAGAGCTGTGAAATGCACAATGGAGGATGGTTTTGTTGGAGTATGGTCACAAAGACTTCATGATCCATCTCTGTTTGTTTAAAATATATTTAAAAATATTATTTATTTTATATAATGGTCTTGTTTTATTCTTCTTCTTTTTAAACATTTTTATTTCCTTTAATTTATTTGACCATCATTTTTTTATTAAATGTCATTGACTCTCTTTTTTAGGTTCCTTAGCAGAAAATTTTTTAGGAGGCTTGTGTTTTACAATAAAAAACTGGAAATCAAAACCCCATGGTAGAAAGAATTTATAGTATGGCAAAAGAATTGAAAATGATAATCTTAACATGGATGATTATAGATATTATTTCCAAACAATAATACAACAAAACCTTAATTTAAATCCATAGTAAAATACAATATTCTCTTGACCATCAATTTTTAATTGCTCATGGACCTTTCACAGCTTTTTCGATATACAAGCTATATAAATAAGGGCAAAAGCAAGCTTTTAAGCCATCAGAAAGCTGTATATAACTAAGTGTAGGACCGCGGCTCGTGCAAACCACTCTGAGAAAACAAAAAGCGGCCCTCAGATTAGAGGGCGTGGCATTTTGGTCAAGAATCTCACATTTCAAGTGAGACACGTTGGCTACCCGTGTGGGACCCATCTGTCCCCACACGGGCTAAGCGGCTGGTGCTCATGTCACGTGGTCCAATTTTCTATTTCTAAAGTCTAATCATACTCATACTTTTCAAGTCCAACGCACACACGAACCGATGTTCCTCAGTTTTAGGGCGCTTTTGGTCCAAGATTTCTATAAATACCGGATCAGTTTTCCCAATAAATACCGGATCACAAATTAAGGTAAATTTGTTCTATCTTCCCTTATTTGGCCTGCCCTGCCCTGCAGTTACAGAGAGACAAGGGCTCCATTTTCTTTCTCTGGAAAGAGAGAGAGGGGCCCCTCTTGCTTTAAAAATTCAACTCAAGTTTTTTCAATTTTGTACGGAATTTGAGCCGGCATTATTTTGACAGAAACGCTGAGAGACCGGAGGTCAATCTGTGATACGATATATCTGCAGCAGAGAGAGAGAGAGAGAGAGAGAGGGATTTGAAGAGAAGGGGCGGACTCTTGCGCTTGCGGCCATGGCGAATGCGACCCAAATGGTGTGCCCGCCTCCGATGAAGGCAGTCTCGAATGGGGCTTTTCAAGATGAGAACCCTTTGGACTATGCTTTGCCTCTGGCAATGGTCCAGATCTGCCTGGTTCTGACAGTCACAAGATCGCTCGCTTTCCTTTTGAAGCCGCTTCGACAACCTCGAGTTATAGCAGAGATCATTGTGAGTGGCTCTTCTTCTTCCTCTTAATTGTTTATTTATTTATTTTGGTTGGTATTGATATTTTTTATGATTAGAGAGAGGCGATGTGGTTTAGCCGAGTCTGGACAAATTTAGGGACCACACTATTCTGAATCTTGTGTACGAAATTCCAAAATTCCCCAAAGTTTTCTACAAAATCACTCGCATGAAACTTCGGTCCCATGACCCATCTTCGCGATTGTTCTTTTTTTTTTCTAGAGATGTAATAGGTTTTTTTATTAAGTTTCGGGATGGTTAACGGGGGGACGTTATAACGAAGCATGTGCCGCTTAACCACCGATGTCCCATGTCGGCTTCACGATTGTTTTTGATGGAGCCAAAGAATGGTCCGGATTGGTTTTTTTTGGGGTCAATTCGTTATATAATATTGATGTTTGCTTGTTGGGAATCGGAAATCGGTTTTGGTGATCAGCAAATTGCCTTTTTTTTGTCCGGAATTGGAAACCTGCTTTGGTCATCAGCAACTACGACGATCCGAGCCTCTTTCCAAAGCCTTGACTGATCAGCAACTACGACGATCCGAGCCTCTTTCCAAAGCCTTGACTTTTCATAAAGTAGAGAGGGATTTCCATAGATAATCTTAGGGCCATGTTTGCATCGGAGGAAATTAAGAATATAAGATACTTTCAATATCAAGGATTTTTGTCATGAATTCTTCAAATCTCTTGTTTGAATAAACTATACAAAAATTATAGATCCTTGCAATCACTTTCATGTCCATTGTTTGGTACCAAAACTTGATACAATTTCTTTCTAAAATTTTTATGTGCTTTATCTCTTTCGAAAACTCAAAATTTGAAATAATGTATCTATAAAAATTTGATATAGTTACTTTCTTAAATTTTAAGATGTTTTCTCTCTAAAAAATTATTTAGGTAGTTTCTCTATCTAAAAATTTGATGTAATTTTTATCTTTAAAATTTTAATATAGCTTCTCTCTCTAAAATTCCAAATTCGAGATAGTTTCTCTCTAAAACTCAAAATTTGAGATAGTTTCTCTCTCAAAAAAGAGATATTTCTCTCTAAATTTTTTTTTTTTGCAGTTTTTTTCTCTAGAATTTATAATAATTTATCTCTAAAAGTTTAAGAATACCCTCTCTCTCTCTACAAGTTTAAGAATACTTTCTCTTTCTAAAACTTAAGATTTGATATAGTTTTTCTCTCTAAAAATTTTAAATTTAAATATAAGGTTGTTTCTCTCTCTAAAAGTTTTGAAAATAGTTTCTCTCTCTAAAAAATTTAGATAGTTTCTCTATCTAAAAGTTTGTAAGTATTCTCTCTAAAATATAATAGTTTTTCTCTAAAACTTAAAATTTTGAGATAGTTTCTGTCTCAAAAAAAAAATTGGTACTTTCTCTCTTTAAAATATTAACATATTTTCTCTCTCTAAAATATTAACATACTTTGTCTGTCTAAGAGTTAATTTAAGATAGCTTCTCTTTCTAAAATTTTGAAATAGTTCATTATTCTAAAAAATTATGATACTTTTTCTCTTTAAAATTTTAACATACTTTCTCTCTCTGAAATTTTAATATATTTTCTCTCTCTAATAGTTAAAATTTGATATAGTTTATCTCTTTAAAATTTGGAGATTGTTCATCTCGCTAAAAAAAAATTTGGTACTTTTTCTCTTTAAAATTTTATCATACTTTATCTCTCCAAGATTTTAACATTCATTTTCTCTCTTTAAATTAAAATTTGAGATAATTTATCTTACTACAAATTTTGAAATAGTTTCTTTTTATAAAAAATTTAATTTTTTCCTTCTCTAAAACTTTTATACTTACCAGGGGCACCCTATGTTTCGAGTCAAGGGAGCTGAAGTCTATGGGCTTTGGAAATACAAAAAAAAATAAGTTTTTGTGTGGAAATGAAATAGTGAAAATGGGAGTATTATTTTCATAATTTTGATTTTTTTTATTTTAAGTATTCTATTCATTAAGCAAGTCAAAAAGCGGATTTTGACAAAATCCAAGATATTAAGTATCCATGCCTTAAAGTCCATGTACAGGGCCCTTAGGGTTCCAAGGCTCTAAAAATTTAATGCGGTTCGCTTTATTTTTGTGGTGAGTTGTAACTTAAAAAGATTTGCCGAGTTTTAAAGGATTGTTGCATTAGTGGATTCGGATTTTGGGAAGGTTGAAGGAGGTTTTGGGATCGTCACTATTGCCACGTTGCATAAGACTGTCCTGCGGCCCTTTCTGTGATGCTTACGCAATGTTGGTAGAAAAAAAAAATATCATTCTGTATGTATGGAGCATATATTTTTTAAGTTTTTCATATATTTGCCCTTGTAGATGTTGTCGATTCGAGTTATTTTTAAAATTTAAAAATTATAATTAAAGATAAAAAGATTAAAATTTCGCCACCAAATTTATTCTTATAAGAAAGTTTGGAGGTAATGTAAACCTCATCCCTCCCCTAGCTTATAAACTTATAATCAATAGAGAAAGCTCCTCTCTCGTTACGGGCAGGCACTTGTTATCACTGTAGCAGTGGGATGCGTATTTTGAGGAGTGGGCGGGCCTCTTTTATAATAAGTTTGGTTTCTCATAAAGTGAGGATGTGCAGGGCGGGATATTACTGGGCCCGTCGGCTGTGGGCCGCAACAAGGCGTACCTGCACAGGATCTTCCCCCCTCGGAGCATGACGGTGCTCGATACCATCGCGAACATCGGCCTGCTCTTCTTCCTCTTCCTCGTTGGTCTTGAGCTCGATCTGAAGTCCGTCCGCCGCACCGGGCGCAAGGCCCTTGGCATCGCCCTCGCAGGTATCACCCTCCCGTTTGTGCTCGGGGTCGGCACCTCCTTTGTCCTCAAGTCCACCATCGCCAAGGGTGTTGGCACTGCCCCCTTCCTTGTGTTCATGGGCGTCGCCCTCTCCATCACCGCTTTCCCTGTGCTCGCTCGTATCCTCGCTGAGCTCAAGCTCCTCACCAAGGATGTCGGTCGCATTGCCATGTCGGCTGCCGCCGTCAACGACGTCGTTGCGTGGATTCTCCTGGCCTTGGCTGTAGCCCTCTCAGGCAGCGGTGGGAGCCCGCTCGTGTCTCTGTGGGTGCTGCTCACAGGGATTGCTTTTGTTATCTTTGTGGTGGTCGCGGTGAGGCCTGGTCTTGCATGGATGGCGAGACAGTGTGATGATGGCGAGCCGGTGAGCGAGGGGTATGTGTGCGCGGCCCTGGCGGTGGTGCTGGCAGGCGGGTTCGCCACCGATACAATCGGGATACATGCTTTGTTTGGGGGGTTCGTCGTGGGGCTGGCGATGCCAAAGAAAGGAGCGTTTTCTGGGGCGCTGATTGAGAAGATTGAAGATTTGGTGTCCGGGCTGTTTTTGCCATTGTATTTTGTGTCGAGCGGACTGAAAACAGACGTGACCACCATACAGGGGGCTCAGTCATGGGGGCTCCTGGTGCTGGTGATCGTGACCGCATGCTTTGGGAAGGTGCTTGGGACAGTGGGCGTGTCCTTGGCCTTCAGGGTACCTTTCCGTGAGGCCTTGGCGCTCGGCTTCCTGATGAACACCAAGGGCCTCGTCGAGCTCATCGTCCTCAACATCGGAAAGGACCGGAAGGTGCTGAACGACCAGACGTTCGCCATCATGGTTCTGATGGCCTTGTTCACCACCTTCATCACCACGCCCTTGGTCATGACCATCTACAAGCCCGCCCGCAAGTCCATCCCCAACAAGTACCGCACCATCCAGAGAAAGAACCTAGACAGCGAGCTCCGCATCCTGGCCTGCCTCCACAATGTCAAGTCTGTCCCCGCGCTTATCCACCTAATTGAGGCCTCGCGCGGCATGCGCAGGCGCCCCCTCTGCGTCTATGCCATGCACCTCATGGAGCTCTCCGAACGGCCCTCCGCCATCCTCATGGTCAATAAGGCCCGCCGCAACGGCCTCCCCTTCTGGAACAAATCTCGCCCCAACTCCGACCACATTGTGGTGGCCTTTGATGCGTACCAGTGTCTCAGCTCTGTCTCGGTTCGTCCCATGACTGCCATCTCCTCCCTCACCACCATCCATGAGGACATTTGCTCCTCTGCTGAGGAAAAGCGCGCGGCCCTTATTATCCTCCCATTCCACAAGCATGCTCGGATCGATGGGACCTTCGAGCCCACCCACGCTGGGTTCCGCCATGTGAACGAGCATGTCCTTGACCATGCCCCCTGCTCTGTTGGCATCCTCATCGACCGCGGCCTCGGTGGCGCTGCCCGCATCCCTGCATCCGACTTCTCGTCTTCAGTTGCCGTCCTCTTCTTCGGTGGCCGTGACGACCGTGAGGCCCTACATTACGCCGCCCGCATGGCCGAGCACCCCGGCGTGACCCTCACTGTCTTTCGCTTTCTACCCTCGGGAGAGCCAAACAGACGTAACGTCAAGATTGAAATGGACATCGAGGAGCGCGAGGCTGATGACGCCTTCTTCGCCGACTTCCAAACCAGAGCCAAGACTCTCGAGTCAGTCAAATATGAGGAGAAGGTGGCGGCGACTAAGGATGAAACCGTCGCAGCCATCAAGACCGTGGCAAGGTGCAACCTGGTGCTGGTGGGGCGTGGGGCGGAGGCTCCCGGGTTCGATGAGAGGGTTGGCAGCGACAGTGCTGAGCTCGGGCCTGTGGGAAGCTATTTGGCGACGCCTGAGTTCTCGGCTGGGGCATCAGTGCTGGTGGTGCAGCAATATAACCCGGGCTCGGGAAACAGCTCGCCATCGCTGGACGAGGTGCAGGAGACGCCGAAGTCAGTGGCGGCCTCAGACTCGGAGTGCTGAGGGTGTAGTAGTGGACGGTGCGCAGGTTCGATAATCACGTGTTGTTTTGTGGTTTTTGCTTCTTCCCAAGCCCCTCGTTCTCCCTTGTCTACACATTCCCCGTATTGAAATCTGTGTATGGCTTGGTTGTGTAAGGTAGGGTAGAGATTAACAGTGGCCCGGTGATTGGTCAATATCTATCATCTGGAAGCGCGGCTGATCTGCACCGACCATGGTTGAGGAGACGGTGGATGGTGCGATTGGGTACCCACCATGTGTATATATCGCAATAAATTCTGAAACAAATTCTTATCACTAGAAAATGACTTTATTACTCGTATCTGGTCGCGATGATAATGATTCTGTAAGCATGTTTTGTTTCATTTGATGAAGGTTTGTTGGAGGCATTCATCTTAAACAATCAAACTAATATGTACTTCTAAATTTTGTTTGAAGATGTTGTTCATGTGCTAGAAAGTCATGCAATGCAATGGTATGAAAATCTTTGCCACCAAATTTAAAACTTCAAAAATAATGTAGATTGATGAATAATAATTTTTTTAAAAAAAATAGACAACCTAGATAATACATTACAAAATGTACTATTTTTATATTAAAAATTACTGTTTTTTGTCTTTCATATACATGCACATTGAGGAGGAGATTATCTGTTTTCAGAGTTTACCAATATGGACACCATTTTCCAATGGTTTTTTTAGATGTACATAAGGTTGATTTACATAGAATTTTTCCTTCACTTTATCGAGGAAAAACACCATTAAAATGCTCAAATAGTTAACGGTGAGGTTTGTAAAAGGTGCCCACCTTGTAATTTACGAGTAAGGTGCACATCTAATTTTTTGCCAAAAAGATGTTAGAAACTTTATAATGGCATATGCAACCATAAATATAAAATTAAAAACTTAAAAATAGTACGGATTAAACAATATATAAACACTTGAAATTCTAAAAAATAAACGATCTATATAACTTGTTACAAAATAAATTATTTTTAGAATTAAAAATTATCTTTTTCTTTATCTCCATACATCTCAAAGTTAAAATTATCAATTTGAAGATTTTTCAACTTCAAAAAACTCTTTTCTACTGGAATTTTAAGGTGTGCTTGTTTCTATAGTATAAAGTTGCAACCTTATATAAACTTTTTCCATCATTAAATGGCAGCTTATCTCTGGGATGCAAATCATTACCTGGCTCAAAGTTACATGAGGGATACAAATCAATTTGAATTTTATTTTTTTATACAAATTGTATTCATGTGAAAATGGGGGCCGTATGTCCTTTATAGGGTGTATTCAATAAAAGTAAAACTAACTCGAATAAATAAATAAATAAGTTTATATAAGTACACAACTTTAAACAATCAAATTTGGGCGTACCTCAAAAATTTCACTAGAAGATGATGTTTTGATGCTCAAATATTCTCAAATTAATCATCTGGACCTCAAGATGTATGGACATTAGAAAAAAAATAGACTTAAAAATAATGCATCTTGTAATGCATTTTTGGACCGCTATATATTATAGATTTGCTAGAGATGAAAATATATATTAGAGATGAAAATATATATTATAGATTTGCTAGAGATGAAAATATATATTAAGGCAATCACAAAGATTTCCAATATTGAAATCACATTTCTCGACACTATTTGAAGTTGCGCTTTACTTTTATTGTTTAAAGCCTCGACTTTATACAAATCTCACCCAATAAATAATACATTGAAGGTTTCGGGTGGTGTTTTGGGTAATTGTTTTTTACCCCTCATGTATTAGGGGTACTATCATCATTTTTTATTTAAATTAATTTATTTATTATTACTAGTATTTTTAAAGATGCATGTATCCCTAGATTCATATGAATACAATTTGTATAAAAATAAAAAATAAAAGTAAAATCATTATGTGGCACTTAGACCTAGGTATTTTTGTATTTTATTCTATTTAAATTTCTGGGATGAAAAATGGAATAATTAAAATTTCAAAATATTGGTAGTTATTCATGGTAAGCAATATGAAACTTGGGGTATCTTGTGATTTGATAGTTGTGTTCTCAAGCTTGAACAATCACAAGTATTCTAGGTTAAATTATAAATATTAACCTTGTTGTCTAGGGTTCCCAATTTAGAATATGGATAATTTGAGAATTTTTTAAGAAGCCGTACCTTTATGAATGAAACTTAAAAAAAACTAAACCTTGAAGTGATGAATGAGATTTTTTTAGCACTTATTTGATATTTCCCTTGCGATTTAACGTAAAAGATTGTGTTGTGAAGAAGGCTAAAGGCGTTAGCCATTTGCATCCTAATTATTTTGAAAAACTTCCCTTTTGAAAATATTGTATTTTCCAATCAATTTATTCTTAGGACCCCAAATTTACTCACTCAATCCAAGATTACCTAAAAAAGTTTTTACACATCCTTGAGCTATAAACTGTTCGGTTTAAGTGGGAATGGTCCCTTTTGGTGTGGCAAATAGCGAGAGGGGCTACTCTATAGGAACTATGGAAAGAAAGAAATAGGCGAACTTTCGAAAGAGAGGGTTTATCTTTTGATAGAAGTAAAGTCAAACTGTCTATTTGGTCTTAGCTCTTAGTTATTAATGAGGGTTGGGGGATTTCACAATCAGATGTTTTGTTGAGTTTGCCAAATTTGTTTTTGATGGGTAGAGGAAAGATGATACCAATGAGTATTTGGGTGGCACCAGAGAGTGAGAGATTTAACTTAAATTTTGATGGGAGCTCTCTGGGCAATCCAGGTTTGGCATGCATTGGGGGTGTGGTATGAGGTTGTTTTGGAGAGGTCATCTTTTCATATGCTGTCCCTATTGGTATAGTCATGACTAACAAATTGAAGTTAATGGCTTTGTTGCAAGGGTTAAAATTTTTTATCTCTAGAAACATCAAGAGTAGCTGCATTATTGTAGGATACTATATGAACGCAATTAATTGTTGCAATAAGGAATAGCGTATTCCACGGGAACTGAGGTCTAGTTGGTTGTAGATTATGGATCTGGTGGCTCAACTTTCAGTTTTTTTTTGTCATGTCTATCGCGAGGCGAATTCCTTGGTTGACTTTCTTGCTAAAGGAGGGGCCTCTTTGTCCACTTTAGCTATTTTTTTTGATGTAATTTCTTTTGAGTAGATTTTATAAATAAAGTAAAGAATATTTGTAAAAAAAAAAGAGTATGATCCCTTATGAACCAAGATAGACAAATGTTATTGTGGCTTAACGTGCTAGGCCAGTTGAATCGGAAAACCCCAATTGCCTAGGCATGGAACAAAGAAGATGAGGGTTTGATGGGTCATCCCATGATGATGTCAGAGTTGCCCAGGTTTGTGTGCTAAGGGACTGTGTAACCCTTGTGTGTGATGGTAGGCCTCTAGAGACGAGGGCCAAAGCCATATTACTTAACCATCACACGATATGTAAATATGATAACCATATCAGGAAAGTGAGTCACTAATGAACATGAAGCCTGCACATGTGCGAGAGATTACCCCTATGCACCATAGAGCTGTGATTGCATCAGGTCTATGTGATATTGGACTCGTCTCTTGGAGAAAACCTATAATCTATAGATGTAAATTGTGTTCACTTATCTATTCCCTGACTTTGGTAGCGCAATCATGAACCCCTGCAATGGTCTGTAGGTCATGAAAACCAATGGGTCAGTTTGAGAAAGTAAGTGTGATTATAGTCCACAGTAGAAGATAGAGTGCTTCAACAATATTATAATTCATAGACTTTGACGAATCCGATTCCCATCAAAATTATTTAGATTTAATTATTTTGATGAATAATGATTTTTAAATTTATTATTTGATTTTTTGTGAGTCTCTAGATATTTTGTTTTTGTAAAAAGACTTGATTTCTATGTGACCAAGTCCGCATATGTAGAAATACGTGCCTATTAATAAATCTTTTTTTGAGATGGATTTTTGGACTTAATTTTAAGGAAATGTAATCTCTAACATGGAGATCATGAATATAAAAAAATAAGTAAGTTTTAAAAACTAGAACTAACAATTTTAGTAAGAAAACATTAACCGTTAGTTTCCACTGTTTTTAGATGGAACACCTTCTTGCATTCATCTTTAAGATGGATGCTTTACACTTTTTGGACCGCACATGTAGTAGTCATGCGGTCCAGCCCGCATGAAACAATTTTCCTTTGTAAAAAAAGATTTATAAATTAAGAGCTATTGTTCTTTTAGTATTTAAATATTTAGAGAAAAATAAAGTTTATTTTCCATATTCTAAAATTCAATATCATATTTTTATGATTCATATATGATATGGTGCCCTATGGGGGCCCACCATAGGACTTCATGGGATATGCATGTGGGGCCCATTTGGAGCCTCATGGATATCACGTCACCCATAGTGGGTATATCTTTTTCCTATTGTTTATATCTTGTTAACTAAGGCAATTAACAAGATATGTATTATGAAAACTTTTGATATATTAGAAGTTTTGGATATTCAAAATTTGATATATAAGAACTTTGAATGTTGAAAAAGATATGTATGAATAAAGATATTTACACAAGAGATAGGACATTATCTAATATTTTTTATATTTTTTAATATTTGATGGGATAAGGTTTAGAAAGCTGAAGGATATGTTATAACACCTTCCATTGAATTATGATGGTTTAAATAAGGAATGGATTGATCAAATCTCTCACTCCACAAATCTCCTATGATCAATGGTCTGGATCTAATCTCCACAAAGATGATTATCCTTTAGAAAACCCTAACATCTAAAAACTCTATAAATAGAGGCTCTGGCATCTTGATATATCTGCACCTTTGATTTCTCTTCTTCTTTCTCTCCTAGGGTGACACGCCACCCTTAGGGTTCTTCTCTTCTCTCTCTCATCTATCTCTTTCATCTCTCTTAGATCAGAGAGAATAGGGGGCCCAAGATAGACTCAAGACGAGGCACACCCACTCACACATAAGTTGCCTAAGGCATTGAGGCATTGACTTGATCTTAGTTGTTCTACGTTCTCATATAGTTAAAGGGTTGAAGCCTTGGAAGTCGCTAATACAGAGGCTGAGTGGCTAAAGAACTTGTTGGTAGACGTATCACTTGTTTCTAGACATGTTGCCTAAGGCATTGAGGCTATGACTCGATCCTAGTTGTTCCATGTTGTCATATTGTTAAAGGGTTGTAGCCTTGGAAGTCGCTAATACATAGGCTGAGTGGCTAAAGAACTTGTTGGTAGACGTACCACTTGTGTCTAGGCATGTTGCCAAAGGCATTGAGGCATTGACTCCATCCTAGTTGTTCCACACTCTCATATTGTTAAAGGATTGTAGCCTTGGAAGTCGCTAATATAGAGGCTGAGTGGCTAAAGAACTTGTTGGTAGACGCACCACTTGTCTCTAGGCCCATGCCTGCAGTCTCAATATGGTGTGATTATGACGCAACAGTATACTAAGTGAAAAGTAAGATTTGTCTTGAAAAATCTAGATATATTCACTTGAGGCACAATTAGTTGAGATTTCAGTAGGAAGATGGAGTTATATCAATACTCCATATTCGTTCTAACTAGAACTTGGCAGATCCACTAATCAAAAGCCTAGTAAGGGACCAAGTCTGAAAGACAGTTAGAAGGACGAGATTGAAGCCTATTTGTATTATTCCATAGAGTGATGGGAATTCCACCTAAAGACTAGGAGCTCCCAAGTTTAAGGTTCAAAGGGAAAAAAAAAAAGTCGCTCATGTGATGTCTGATGTATGTTTGTACCAAAGTTTTATGTTGTGAGAATTTATACATTTCGTTTTCATCCTTGCTGTATGGTTTAATTATTGCAATGAGTAGAGAGGTTGAGCATTGTTCTTAATGATTTCATTTGCCTAGATGATGTAAGCTCTAAGTTGGGATGTTGTATTGCAAACGATCCTCCATGGGCTCACTTATATGAGTATAGAAGTGGAGGCCGCCTTCTATGGGAATTGGGCATTCTCTAAAGCACTCATGAAAACCAAGTAGGGTACATGGCCTTAAATACACATGCCTTTCAGAAAACCACAACATTTAGAAAAAGAAACTGTGGTATGTGAGAGGCTTATAAAAAACAGATATAGTTCAAGGTTGTGTCCACTCACTATCCTGATAAGTGTTCTGCATAACACTATATGGAGGTTCAAGCCTGTAGGACACATTCACTAATGCATTCTTCTTTCATGTTCTATTTTAAGGGTATCATATTTTTTTGGGAAAATTACAACCCCCCCCCCCCCCACCCTCCCCCCTAAGTAACATTATTTGAGTTCTCATACAAGGACTCTAATCAACTTTCCTACAGTACTTAACATCATCACACCTGTTAATGTCAACCATAAATCCACCGTTTGGTTTGGCGTTCTAGGCCTCAATATTTTATTTCTTTTCTTGGACTTTATGATATTGTACAACTGCCATATTGTAGGGTTATAAAGTAGTATGCAGTAATTTTTTATCTTCTATTAATAAAAACCCGGTAGGGGCCTTCTCCCCTACCGATTTATCCAAAAAAAAAGAAAAAAATGCCATATTGCAGGGTTATTTTTATTGAGGGACCAATTTTATTTTTATGGTCATATAAAACCACCTTGTTATGATGGAAACTATTTTTGACCATGTTTCTCACTCATGAGGGGGGCATCATTCAATATCCACCATAGCATGCGGCCTTTAGGAGCCTCATTAATTGTCCTCTTGACACGTCATTGATGATGTGGTAGTCTTGACCTTTCGTTATTTAAGGATCATGGTCGTACCCACAACAAGTTTCTTTCTTTTCATATTTTGAATGTACGCTGCTCTCTTGAAGGGGTTTCTCGCTCTCTCCCTAAGAACGAACATGCTCTCTCACCACCTCTTGTTATGCTCATTCCTAATCCAAGTCCCATGTAACATGCACAGTTATGAGGCTAGTATGTACTCATTAGTGATTTGATTCTTCATTTTATTGTAAGTTGAGCATTATAGGTACACGGTAAGTATACCCTTCTAATTGTAGAATATTTTCAGTATTTTGTGTTACTATATTTTATTAAAGCATTGATAGATATTAAGGTATAGTACTTCAATGCAGCATTTTTAATTGAACTTATAATATTTAATATACAGGTTGGAAGACTTTTTGATATGGTTTTTATTTGAGTATACTGATAATACAATTGAAGATTTTGATATGACTGTATCTTAAGGTTGTGTTAACCATGGGCTTTATTGCATCTCGAAATTCTATTTTACTGGGTATAGAGTGATCAACACTTCAAAAAAAAACGAGCTCATCAGGTGCCTCTATATTTTAGACATCCATTGTCATTTCATATAATTTTTAAAATCTGATCTAATTATTACAAAAATTCAACTGATATTAGAAGTTGGCAGATATAACTTTTAAAATAGGTTCTAATTCTTACGGGAATTCGACTGATATTAAGTGTGTTTAGGTATTTTTCTTACCCTAACCTTGGATAAGGGTAAGTGCTACCGAATTTTCAAAAATAGGTGACAGTGAAAATTGTAAAAACTTTGTTTCATCGAGCGACTCTTCAAACACTGTAGAAAACCATTCTTCCACTTGATATTACGACGCTATCCGAGATTCGTGACCCACATGTTCTGAGTCCTATGAGGCCATGTCCATGCGACTAAGCAATTTATCAAACACTGGATAAAACAATACGAGGCTAAATTTCAACCAGAGAACAATTTCTGTTGTGTGTGTGCAGAACAATTTCTCTGTTGTGTGTGTGCATACAACATACTTTGCCAAAGGTGCAGTTCATAGAATATGCTACACTGTTCCGTTGTGGCTGCGCTCCAAAATATAATGGCAACCTAGTCGGTCAATTTCGCAAACAGAAAGCGCGTGTATGCACTTGCAATTCAAGAAAAACATGTTTAGTCACTTCTAAAATAGCTAGCTCGCCCTACAAGTTTAGGGTGTAGAACAATTTAGCTACCACCTGCAAGTCCACTTCTATAAAAAGTAGAAGCGACTAAGTCCGAAACTCGGAGCCACCATTGGCTTTTAAATGAGTGTGGAGAACAAAGTAAAGGCTTTCCTTTAAGTAAAGAAAATGTTTTCCACAAGGGCATGCCTCCACATGAAATTATATATGACATAAAAAAGGTTGTTTTGGCAACCGCTTGGATGGATGTGCATATTTGGAGCACCTTAATTGAATTTAGTAATTAATTCTCTTTTACAAGAGGGGCGCTTTCATCTTTAGTCTTGCAATTCATCAAACAAGAAAAATTCTTATGGGTATTTTCCCTCCCTGTTTATTCTACTCAAGAGGATAACTTAGGGTTAATATCCCTTAATTTTTGGGAATCAAAAGGCCCTCTTCATACGTTGTAATAATTTACACTCACGTCTTTATTTTTGATTTTTTTTTTTTAAAAAATACTGTCGGTTCAAAGTTTTAAGATCCAAATCCAAAACTATCGAGAAATCGGTTTGGAAATTCCAATTGTGAACATATTCTTTTGCGAACCAACCAATTCGGATTTTGAAATTCCAAATTAATTTATTTTGCATTTTGGCTTTGTAATTTCAAAATCAAAACCGATGACCTCACCCTTCAAGTCCCCTTCAAACAACCCCCTTAGGGGTCATTTGGATTTATGAAAAAATATTTATGCCGGTTCGCAAATTCCACTTCCAAACTGACAACTTGATAGTTTTGGTTTAGATATTGAAAGTCCAACCAAAAAGATGGAATTTTGGAGAAAAAATTGATCTAAAATAGAGAAGTAAGTGTGAATTTGGACACATGGGGGTGGATTTTTAATTATGAAAAATTAGAAAATATTAGTATGAATTTCCCTAGAAAAGAAGGATAGTGGGTTTAAAGTTGGGGTTTCGTTGGCTTGTTTGAAAAATCAAACTTGAGGAATGCTCTGCGTAAGTTCAAAAATAGAAGGTTATTATGGCTATTTGTTCTAAAAGCAAGGGCCTTCGACGGAAAGGTCAGCGTATCATTTTCCTTTTGTCCGTTGTTTAGCACTTTGAATGGCCGAATGCTCGGATGCTGCCCTTTTCTTGCACCGGAGGATTTGTTGCTTCAAAACGATCATTTTTGTTTTCTTTTGCATTTTTGATGGTTTTTATAATTTTCTTCTACATGAATATGGCTGGATTCTTGGACCATTTATCTGAAAGGTGTTCAATCTTTCCTCTGAATTTAGTGATCATTTATTTTACATATTGCATTTTGAATTGGGTTTTTTATTTTATAATTATGGAATTATTTCATGGATCTTCTTTTGAGTTCATGTTTCGCCTATAAAGTGGTTTTTGATGGGTCTGCTTATCTCAGAGTTGGGGGTTTTGCTGTTATAGTTTGAAATTGTTTTGGATTTGTTTATGTTTAGAAAGAGCTGGATATTTGTTGTTGCAGGTTTCAGTTTTCTCGTCCCATATCGAGTGTTCCTGAATCTTTTGATGTGAAAAAAAGTACATGTATTTTTTGATAGTTTATTTTGCAAGAAGTATGGTGACAATTCATGGGAAGACAAATTAGGGATTTAATTGATTAAAAATACAAGGAGTTTATCGGAATGGTTCTGCTACTTTTAGGGAAACTGATTTTCTGACTGCTAAATTTAGAATTTCCTAGGATCTTCTGAGGTTTTTCTTGGCTCGTGTTTCTTTGATTAGCATTTGTGTTTTATTTTTTGGAATGGGTTCTGAATGAATGTTGTGCTGGTTCTTTTGTAAATACGTGTTTCGCTTTATCTGTCATTAGCCTTTGGGTATCCATTCATTCATAGTTGTGGCTATGATACTTGAGCTCATAATGGTAACGGGCCTATTGTTCTTATACTTGTAAACAAGTGGCTTATGATGGTTATAAGCAAGAGCCCGTTGTTCTTATACTCGTAAACAAGTGGCTGGTGTTACAACTAAAACTAGATGGGGTGTGGATATTAGGGTTTGAATTGTTAGGAATTGTACGAGGTTTAAGGGTACAGTTGAATTAAATAATTTTCTTGAGATGAATCTCTATGTTAGCTGCCTGTGATCCTTGGTGTTCCCTCTATCACATGCCTATTTAATTACTTCTTTGCTTGCAAATTTCTTTATTTCTGTCTTATGTTTGTTTATTTTGGAATAGTCTAATCATAGTTGTGCCCAATATAGATCTGGTTAAAATATCTTTTTTACAAGGCTTTACGGATGGTGCTCATGGTTATAGATGGCTATGTATGGTTATGGTGTACATGGGGACTGCGCTGAAGTAACTATTAGATAAATTGAAGGCTTTGGAGAACTGGGCATTTGTTTCACTTATTTCTCAATAAGGTCTGATATGGTCCCAGACTTTTTCTTTTTTTGTTTTAGTCAATAGCCAGATAGTGTGTGAGAAAGAGGAGAGATGGAAAGGCATGACCCTTAAGCTTTAGCTTACCTGTAGATATCCTGGTTCGGGTGAAGGAGGTCATGGTTTTGATCCCTTAATATTTTCTGGGATTCCCAAACATTGAAACAAGCTGATCTGCCATTTTGTTAAATGGGGAGACATGGATTGATATTGGATATTGACTCTATATGTGACCATTCGCTGATGGCTTCTAATGTTGCTGTATTAGTAAAGGTCCTCTCAAGAGACAGTTGAGTATTTACATGCTGTATGTAAGTTTTAAGTGATGCTCTCGATTGGTGTTTCTTCATAGATGTGATGACATTCGGTTTGACAAGCTTATTCTTTTCCTGTTTTCCCTATAGTGGACCTAAAGTATCTAAGTCTTTGATTGTTTGTTTAAGATTTCCGGACAGGATTTGATCTATCATAAATGCCGCTTGTAAGCATTCTCATTGTCTTTTTATAGGAGATTCTGGTTTCCATGAACTGTTGTTAGTTATAAATTTATGCTAGTTATATTTGCCAGTAGGGAACCGAATAAAGGAAAATGATTCAGGAGCTGTGTGGGAAATAGGAAATTCAGAAAATGTTCATGATGCAGAAAACAAGATATAAAATTATACACAGGAATACTCACTTCTTACTGGCTTGGATAAAAAACACCACATTTCTTTTCAGTTGACTGAAACACCTCCAAGTGCATTTACAATCCTGGAAAATAGCTAAAAAAGCTTTCTTTTTTCACAAAAATTTGAAAAATTGACTTTTGAATAAATATAATGTCCCCTCTCTCTCATATACTCTCCGACAGCCTCACCTAGGAAGCCATAAGCACTGCCTCTCTCCAGCTTCTACATCTTTTACGTGTGTCACTTGTTAATCTCTATCATGCTCATGTGCAACTGAGAACACAGACATGTCGGCACACATATTTCTTTGATCTGTTTCTCACAAGCATGTGCCTTCTTCTCACTCATGCATATAGCTCTATATGTATGAACAAGGCATACACATATGCAAGCATGGAGGTCCACACTTAATATTAAAACGAAGGCTTGCTCATGCGCCTGTCTCACATGCATATGCCGATACACAAATGGTGCAAACTTACTGGCTCATTATCTGAGTTCACTCTCACATGAGTATGTATTTTTTATGTGTCTGTGCATACATTAGTGTCATATGATGTTTGCAGAAATTAGTCAGATTGTTTTTTGGGGATCACATCCAACTGTTCTGACTAGTTTTGCGATTGGTGAACTGGCACCAATTTGAGCTAGTTGCAACTGACCTAGGCCTCCATTAAGTAGTCTAGAGTTTAGATTTTATATTTCATCATCATCATTATCAGAGCCTTTTCCCAATTATTTGGGATCGGCTATACGAATCCTGGTCCGCATTGTAGATCAAGATTCATGGAAAGTTTTGGCAAAGTTTTATGTTGACTTCTTACTTAACACAATCCACTTCCTTTACCCGGGCTTGGGATGGGTATAGAAAAAGTTTAAGGTCTTCACCCTTCTTAGATTTTACATATATATTTGTATAAAAGCTACAGAGACAGCTGGCTTGTTTGCATTCTGATCTGGCTCTGATGACATTAGTACATATGTATTGACTTGTTTGTTGCAACAAGTGAAAATACTTTCAGTTATGTATATCACCTGACAGTTCGTTGTTTAAAAATATGAGATTATCTTTTGTTGATCTGGACAGTAAAATGAACCACGGTTAACTGAACCATTTGGTTGTTCTAAATTAAAAAAAAAATGAAAATGGTAGCATCTGAACCTTTATATGTAATTGCTACCTTTGGCTGTTCTACATGGATATTTTCAATTTCTTGTACTGTGACTTTAGATAAAGAATTATATTCTCCTTGGTCGTAGACCCTAACCTGCTCATGTTCCTTTCTGTAGGTTGATATCTACCCTTTTTGGTTCAACATTTCTATACAGTTAGTGCCACAACAGTGGGTGTGTAGGACCTTGAATAATGATGTCGAGATCATCAGAGGTTCCTAAAAAGCAAGACACAAGTTTGGAAAGGTATCCACATAGAAGTAATGAGTATGTTAGGCTGGATTTATCTGATGAGCCAAGCATTGATGGATTTGAGCTTCCACAACCTCAAGAAAGTTCCCGACATAGATCTTTCATTTGGTGGACTAAGGCCATATTGTGCTCCTTGGTCTTACTGATACTCATTACTGTTTTCGGCATTTGGGGAGTTCCATTTCTCCTTGAAAAGGTTGTCCTATTGACCCAGCATTTTTTTATATTTAATTTGCATTTATGTTACACTACTACACGTTTCCATGTTTGCCATAAGTTCTAGAATATGTGCTTTGAACATTTGAAAGTTTTCAGCTTCTTTTGATCTGGTTACCAATTCGCAAGATTGATACTAATTATGGCCGTTTGGAGTGCTACTGATAATGATGTTCATATGGATCTTTCATGTCGTGGACTAAGACCATATTGTGCTTCTTGGTCCCACTAATACTCGTTGTTTTTGTCATTTGGGGAATTCTGTTTCTCCTTGAAAAGGAAAAGGTTGTCCTATTGACCCTGTATGTTTTTTGATTTAATTTGCATTTATGTTACACTATTATACGTTTCCATATTTGCCATAAATTCCAGAATCTGTGCTTCGAACATTTGAAAGGTTTCAGCTTCTTTATACTCAGCTAGATACTAACTATGGCCGTTTAGAGTGCTACTGATAATGCTGTTCATATGTTCTTGGGTTAGTACTTGGTGTCTTAGTTTCATTTGGTTCCATGGCTTTCTGCATATATTTTTCAAATACTTTTAGGGCACATTAAAATTCTATCCTGTGTAAATTACTCCAATTGTGCTGACACTGATCTCTATTTTTTTACCAAAGTCATGTGAAAACATTGGACCTTTCTTGAAGATTTTCATTAACAGTGTGATTTTCCTTCTTTTTTGTTTTTTCTATAATCTGTAGAAAGTAAATCCATATACCAAAAGAAAATGTTAACTTATCAGAAAAAATTTAAGACTTATAAACTTGTGTCGCACAATACAGAAGTATATTGTTTCTTAACTATTATTAATTCTTAATTTTATATTTCCTTTTTCAGAAAATCCCATTAATGTCCCAAAGTAATCTTTGATAATCTCTCAAGAAATTACCTTGCCAAGAACTTCCTAAGAATGAAATTTACCATCATGAATGTTAGTTATTTTTTGTTGTTTTCAGAATCGAGTAATTCAATGAGTTAAAGCATCGTCTAAACTTGATAGTTTTCATGTACGAACACAAAATACCTTGCTCATATCACATAGTTTTTTATATCATAGGGCACTTATTTTTTGCGGTAGGACTTTAGAGTGTCAGATGCTTATTGCTGATTTCCATTTTCTGCAGGTTGTGGTGCCACTGATGCAATGGGAGGCGACAGCATTTGGGCGTCCTACCCTTGCATTAATTCTTGTTGCTTCAATGGCTTTTTTCCCTGTTCTCTTAATTCCTTCTGGACCTTCCATGTGGTTAGCAGGAATGATTTTTGGATATGGTCTTGGTTTTTTGATAATTATGTCTGGGGCCACCATAGGGATGACCTTGCCTTATTTCATTGGATCGTTGTTTCGCAGTCGTATTCATGTAAGAGTCGAAGACTTCTCTTGGTTTAATTAGATTTGGCTTTTTTTTGTTGGTGAGTTTATATTTTGTTGTTGATAAGGTTTTGGCTTAAATGCATCTATAGCTGTTTTCATAAGTGAGTTTATAAATTTTGCTATTCAATGTACAGAGATGGTTGGAGAGATGGCCCGAAAAAGCAGCTGTTATTAGGTTGGCTGGTGAAGGGACTTGGTTCCATCAATTTCGAGTGATTGCCCTCTTCAGAGTCTCTCCATTCCCATACAATGTTTTCAATTATGCTGTTGTGGCAACAAATGTGAAGTTTGGGCCATACATATGTGGTTCATTGGCTGGAATGGTTCCTGAAGCTTTCATCTCCATATATAGGTCAGTAGAGCTAGCTATTTTGAGGAATTTCAATTGGTCAGTGCTTGTTCTTGATAGAAGTTAGCTTTAAATAAGTGACATTGATATCAATTTTGTTGGATTCTAAATGAGTAACAGTGATATATCCTCATGGAATATATTTTTGCTGGAAAGGGCAAAAATACTTTTCAAGGATATATCCTCATGGAATATTACTTTTGACGATTTGATCATGGGACCACTAATAAAAATTCAAATTAATTGTTTGTGTTTCGGGGCATTTAAATTAATATGCTGTAGTGAGATTTTTGTTATAAAATTTTTTAGGCATTTTAACTATCTTTTGTTATGGGGGTACGGATGGCAGTATCCTTGTTTTAATGCTTAAGAGTAGACCTCTAAATCTAATTGTATATTATTGTATTGCTTCATTACATCTCTAGTTGTCTATTATTATTGTATTGGTTCTGGTGATATTTTTCTCATTTCCTTTCCGTTCCTTTGAGACTTGATTATAGATGGATATTAATTATCCTTATTGGTTTTCTAGTGTCAAATGTAATATGCATAATGCCATTAGCTTGAGTATAACATTGTCTTTATTGCAGTTACTCCTTGGCATGCCTTTAACTTAATGTCTTTAACTTGAGTGTGTATCCATTGACATACCGACATGATGAGAAAATAAGTGCAAGTAATACTTCTAAAGTTAATTTGGTCTCTTTGTTGCGCTATCGTCTATGGCACAATAAAAAATAGCTGCTATAACATCATCCTCTATTTGTATTGGTATAACATTGTCTTTATTGCAGCTACTCCTTGGCCTGCCTTTAACTTAATATCTTTAACTTGAGTGTGTATCCATTGACATACCGACATGATGAGAATATAAGTGCAAGTAATACTTCTAAAGTTAATTTGGTCTCTTTGTTGTGCTATCGTCTATGGCACAATAAAAAATAGCTGCTATAACATCATCCTCTATTTGTAGTTCTTGAGATATATATGCAGAGTGGATGCTCTGAGGTGTTCAAATTCATCTTCGCTACCTGTTTATATGTGCGTGTTGAGGGATTGGCCCTGATGCTGCTCCTGCATTGCGTCACTGCATTTGCCCAGGCTCCCCTTGAGCATGGGAGTGAATAACTTTGTGGAAAAAATGATAGAAAGGACTTCTGCAAAATCTGCCTTGCTAGGCAAATAGGCTTTATCCAAATGTAGAATAGCCCTAGTACATGACACTTACTAGAGTCCACTAGCTAAGTGATGATTTTCCTGTAGAAAAAAATAAACATAAGTTATGGAAATGATTAACTGGAAAGAAAGAAGTATCACGACTAAACCTCCTTTATCTAGTGCATGGAGTAGTTCATGGTCTGACAAATGAAGACTCCTCATGATGGTTAATGATTAGTGATGTGTAGGAAGGGGCCCAAGCTGTTTGCTGCATTTTGGATCTTATTGGGCAGTTGATCTATGGTTAAGATTTGATGAAAAAATAGTGTCCCCTCTAATGGGCTGGCAATGCAAGATTGGTTAGTGCAACAGTTTTTATTTAGTTTGAATGGAGGCTTATCTTCTTTGTAATGGATGATCCAAACTTTAGCACACCTCCAAATCCATGACGAAAACAACAGTATTAGATTGCACAATCGGGGGGCCTTGTTCGTCAATGTTCATCCTTTTTAGATGTTTCCTGATTCAAGTCTTTATCATTTTTTTGCAAATGCCCTCTATTCAAATAATCTAGAGCTTTTTGCTCCTCCTCTGGGAAGATGGGCCAGTCTTATCAGGACAGTTGACATGGTATGTGCTTATGTGATCAATCAGCTAAAAAAAACCTTCTCCAGGCAATTTTCAAGGGGAATTTTTGTCTCTAAAGATTATAAAAAAAAAAAAAGAAAAAAAAAAAGAATTATCTCTAAAGATTAATATTGCCCAAGACTTATGTGTTATTAGGTCGCATTGGCATTCCTAAAACCTCTGCTTGAAGCTGATGCAAGCAGAATCAATCAACTGCTTGCAACTAAGTGGCTGCCTAAAAATGTGTTAAGAAATATATACATGATCTTATAACTCTATATCAGCTCAATAAACCAAAGAACTAACATAACCAAGGCCAATTTCGCCCCTAGTTTCATATTATGAAAAAAAAAGAATTACATATACACTAGATACGTGAGGAAATCCAGGAACTTCCAATTTCTGTTGCAATTCACATCAACCCTCTATACGTGGTCAAATACCGTTGATTTGGGCCTTGAAGCATATACATTCATAGATCTAAAAGCAAAATATATACACAAATAGAGAATATCAATACCAAGAGGCATATTGGGACCCGTATACCTGACTATACGTAAGGGTATTATCCACAAATCTGCTCCTTCTCGAACTAAGGCTTCAAGTGAGTCAAGTAATCAACAACTTTCTCTCTCCTTGATGATTTTCACAGTCACAAAACAAAAGATGGCACTATTGGGGGCCTATCTCTTCACTCTCAGTGCAATAAGTATGGCGTCACTCTCTTGTCTCTCCCTCTTTCTTAATCATGCATAAAGATGGGAAGTGCAAATGGGAGTGTATGGATTCAGCCCCCCTTCGCAGTCCCTGAGAAATGGGTTTAAATAGACTTGGGAGAAATCATGTAGTGGCAGCCAAGCTTTTGCACAATTTTTATAGTTATTGCTGCGAAGCTCGCCACTCTTATATGAGAAATTGATATGATGCCACACTTCTATGTCTGATAGGGCATTGAGCCTGGAATCCAATGGTCCAGGTCCCATGAGAAAACTCCTTATAGATTGGGAAAAATCTGAAATTTAGCGACCGGAGGTCATCCTGGCTATCTTTTCGGCAGCTGATGTGTAAGATTCTGGCTGCCTGTGGTTATGGATGAGGGGTTGAACCATCTCCAAATGGCCTGGAACTTTGGGATGAGGGATATGATGTCTCGAATATGATTTCTTACGAGTTTCGGACCAATCCCTAAAATACCATGTTTGGAGTCGTCAGTAAGGCATATTGTGGCTGACGACGAATATAGGCGATGAGCGAAATGATGTCCAATTTAAATGATTCTTGGACTAGCAGCACATGAGGCCTCATTGAATATACATGCAAGGGGTGCCCTCAATGTGATATCATATGATGAGGTTTCCTTTGGATCCGGCTGTCAAACACTCCTTTGGCAAATGACATATTGGAAGACGTACCATACTGTATCCAAACTCGTCCAATATTGTGTGGAGAAGGCATATTGTGGCCGTGGGAATATATGACCCAGTACTTATCAAATTGAGATGGCCGGATAGTTTTTTATGACTGGTCGTTAGCCAAAATGCACATACTTGATTGACGACAGGTTCGAAGGTATATCGTACTGTATTCAAACTCTTTCAATATTATGTGAAAAGACAATATTATGGCCTCGGGGATATATGACTAGAGCTTGTCTTAAATTGAGATGGCTTGATACCCTTTGCTATCATTGGTTGTTATCTAAGCCATATGAATTGACCGTCGACCATGACTCTTAACCCATATAGGGGCTCTCATATTACGAGTCCTAGGCACATCATACTCCACTATCATACCAGGAGCATGCCTCGCAAATATTTTTCAAGAATCATGTCCATTGGGTTTGTATAGTGACCACCACCATCTTTGTCAAGGTATATAGATTTGGCATCCGTTCGATACTTATCTCTTGCATTAAACCTTCGGGCTTGTATTTAAATTTCTCTTAATGTACTTCGTCTCGTATTATGACCAAAAATACACCCAATACTAAGGGCCACTCTTATAGAACTTCAGAAGTAAAGAAT